AAAGTTTAAATGGGCCTTTCATGTTATATCATTAAATTTAGTAATACTATTTCTCGGGCATTAGGTTTTAACTCTTATAAGAATATACATATTTTTTTCTGTTAATGTACAAATATTTTTCCGATGTGTTTTGGATATTCCTTCTCTAATAAAAAGAGATACCATTTTGTTTTCGGTTGTACAAGAAAGAAGATCAAGCATTTTTCTTTTTTAAATTTAATAAGCCACATTAAAGAAGGAACGTTGCAATGCTACACGCTACATTAACGACGTCTCCAGAGTAACTGAATGACGGTTCATATGGATATCGCAGGTAAGCGTCTCATACAACAACGCCCCCTATAGTTCGTTGCGATCGCGAATTGTTGTTTTGATTGAGTTCAGTAATAAGTCCATTTCACATTAATAGTTTTTCAAGAGACATCTCAACTTTCAACTGTCAAGTTTTCGGACGAAGTTATAAAAAGAAGAAAAATAAAATCAAAACTTTCCCTTTAAATAGGAATGGTAATTGACCATTCTCTTTAGCTTTTCATTGTTCAACAATTGTGAATTATTTTCCTTGTGAGTAAATTTTATTATTATAGTGTTACAACTGATATCTCGAATCACGAAAAAAAACTTTTCTTTTTTTAAGTCAACATTTGGTTGAGGTAGTTCTTCTCAACAAAACTATATGCCACACAGAATTTTTATTTATTATTTTGATAAGTAATTTTCTGAATTTTTTCAGTTTTGCCATTTTGTATAAAATTTTAATGTTTAATTTAGTTTAATGCTTTTTTCCTGTTTATTCTCATATGCCAACGCAAACAAATTTTGTCATTCCGAATAAAATAAATGCTTAAAAGTTAAAGCAAAAGCTGTTAATAAATAATTATTTGAAAAAATCAGTATTTATAAATTAAAAATTTTTGATATTTCCTATTTGTTCAAGAGTATGTGATTTTTTTTTTTTTTTTTAATATTTATTACGAGGAACTGAAGTAAGATGACATTTAAATTTCAAAGATAAGAATTTTGTAAAATAAAGTTATTTCTTATTTATTTTAAACTTTTCTTGGGGGGGGGAAGGGGATTCTTTCATACGTTTTAAAAATACTTTTGTCTGTTTTTAATTGATAGAATTATTTATTCACTAGGAAGTCGGACACATTGTTTAACTTTTTAAATTTTTTTATAGACTTTTACTTTTTAAAGGTCTTTATAGAATGTCTTTTTTAATTGTTTTATATTTACTTACAATTATTATAGCCTTCATTAAATGTTAGATTTTCTAATTAAAATGTTTTATAGGGTTATTAGCAGGGTTGGCAAGTTTTTGACACATGACGGTTTTAAGATATTTAAGAACAGATTTTTGCATTTTCCCAACATGATTATATCATAACATACTATTTGAAGTAAAATATTAGGATACTAAACGAAATTTTCAACATTTCCAAGCATCATTTTGTTTGGCATATTACATTACTGAAGAATGTCAAGTCATTCCTGACTTTTTCATTCCTGAGTTTCTTAGTAGTTACAAGTTTTGAAAGTTTTGTTTAGCTTATTTCTAATATTTAAGAAATGCCAAATTTTAAATTCTTCTTTTTAGTTCTTGAATTTATTAATAGTTCCAAGTTTTTTTTGTTTATTTCGAACAATTAAGAAGTGCAAAATTTTGAATCTTTTGCAAAACAAGCTATAATGATAAAAGTTAAGTATAACTATTTTCAATAAGTATATTACAATATTTCTGTATGAATGTATATCCTTCTATAAGAATACTTAAAAAATTGCATAT